CAGCAGCAGCAGCAGCAGCAGCAGCAGCAGCAGCAGCAGCAGCAGCAGCAGCAGCAGCAGGAGTTTACCGACGACAAGAACAACATCATTTGAGTTGAAGTTGAATTTGGATTTTGAAAAATGAAAAGTTTTTTCGAAATCTGTTTTTTCCTGATCCACCAGCAGCTCAACAGGAACTCCTTTGCTGCGGAAGAAAAGAAGTGCCTGAGAAGCAGCAAAACAACTTCTCTACTTTGCTGCTGCTGCTGCTGCTGCTGCTGCTGCTGCTGCCACTGGCTTGCCATTTATGCTACTATTTATTATTTCTGCTGCTGCTGCTGCTGCACCTGCTGATGCTGCTGCTGTTGCTGCTGCTGCTGCTGCTGCTGTTTTGTCGGTTCGTGTTGGGAAAACAAACAAATTTCTGCTGGAAGTCTTGTATTATTATTTATAATTATAATTATTATTTGTTATTATTTATTACTATTTATTTTTATTTATTTTTATTTATTATTATTACTATTATTATTATTATTATTATTATTATTATTATTATTATTATTATTGCTGCTTCTGAACTGTCCCGCTGCCCCTCTTTGCCCTTCTTTTAATTCTCTTGTCTTTGTACTTGCATTTATTTTTATATTTGCATTTATATTTACATTTATAATTCCAATTCTAATTACATTTATAATTATATTTATAATTATATTTATAATTATATTTAAATTTATATTTATAATTATAATTTTATTTCACCTCTTCTTTTAAAGAATCCAAATCGCCGCAAATGCATGCGGGCCACTGAAGTGTACGTACACCTGAAGCCGCTACGCCCGCCCCACAGTCTTCTCCTGCGGCCCGCTCGCCCTGCTGCTGCTGCTGCTGCAGCTGCTGCTGCTGCTGCTGCTGCTGCTGCTGCTGCTCGTAAATGTGCCGCAGGTGGTTAGCAGCACCATCTGCTGCTAAGACAAGAGAGGCTTGCTGCAGCAGCGCCTTAAAGTAAGGCGGCAGCGGCCTGTTCAGCACCAGCAGCACAACACGCCCTGCTGCAGCAGCAGCAGGCGCTGCTGCTGCTTCTGCTGCTGCTGCTGCTTCTGCTGTTGCTGCTGCTGCTGCTGCTGCTGGAGCAGGAGGAACTGCCTTCCATTTGGCGCTGCCGGGGCGCAGCGCCTCCAGAAAACGCAAGTCGAGGATGTGCGTGGGCCCGCTGCTGCTGCTGCTGCTGCTGCTGCTGCTGCTGCTGCTGCTGTGGCTCCGTCTTTGCTGAGCAGCAGCAGGTGCCTTCAACGTAGCTGCTGCGCTGCAGCAGCCTTGGGGCTTGCATGCAGAGGCCCTTGGGGCCCGGAGCGCATGCATTGCATGCAGCTGAGGCCTAAAAGGAAAAACAAAAGCCCCAAAACTGGACCCTAGGGGGGCCCCCCTGGCAGCAGGCAGCATTTGGGGGGCCCCTACGCAAAGGGGGCTTCGGGCGGGGGCTGCTGCAGCACGAGGTGTACAGACACCCGAGAGCAGCAGCAGCAGCAAACGGCGAGGCTGCCTGTGGTCAGAAGGAGCCCCAAAAGAAGCCGCAGCAGCAGCAGCAGCAGCAGCAGCAGCAGGTGCAGGCTGCAGCAGCAGCAGCGGAGGCGACGGGGGTCTGTAGGGCGCTGCAGCAGCAGAGCTGAGGCTGAGGCTCAGGCGGCCCTTGTTTAGTGCTGCTGCTGAAATCAGGAGGGAGGAAGGCGGGGCGAGCAGCAGCAGCAGCAGCAGCAGCAGCAGCAGCAGTCGCTGCGGCTGCTGCAGCAGCTGCAGCAGGGAACGGCGGCAGGCGGAGGCGAAGCAAAGTGGACCGGCAATGCGCATCGCGGGACTTCTTCAAAAGCTGCTGCAGCAGCAAAAAGAAGCTGCAGCGCCTCCAGGGCGCATGCAGAAGAGCCCAGAAAAAGTGGAACTTGAACAAAAGTGCAGCAGCAGGGAAAGCTGTGCAGGCTGGGGTGTTGCGCTGGTGTACGTACACCCCGGGGCTCCAGAAATGGAAAAAAAAGAAAAACAAAAGTGAAAGTGGAAAGGAAGTTTCGGCCCTGAGCCGCTGCCGCCGAGTGCTCGAGCTGTCCATACACCGCAGCCCCGTAGACCACTCCGGAAGAGGCGATCCGAGCGGAAATAAAAGGCACCAGACTTCAATTTTAATGAAAACAATTCCCATTTAAGGAATTGAATCCATTTAACTGGCTTTTTATCGGGAATCTTCTTTTTTTTTTGCAGCTTCGGCGCTCATCGACGCGCCAGTCTTCGGCGGCAGCTCTTTCTGCCCTCCACGCGGATCTGCGGCTCTGTCCAACTCTACAAAACTCAAAATTGGAATTAAATTATTAATTTCAACAATTCCAAAATTTTCCTTTTCAAAAATCCCGCTTGAGTTGTTATTTTCATGGCATTTTCGCCCTCCAGCTCCCACTGCAGCCGCAGCGCTGGCTCTTGTGTGTTGAAAAGGCCTCAAACGCGCGCGAAAAGGAATAAAAATGACATTTCTTGTTTAAAATTAATAAATGCGGGTAAACGGACGAGGCTAGCGGGCGTTTTAGCTGTACTTACAGCTCAATCAATTGTTCCCAGTCATCACTTGCTTTTAATTTTCCGTTTTCGGGTGTACGTACACCCCAGCCTTCGCCGGGCCGGGGTGTATGTACACTCAAACTGCCACTCAGCCGCCACTGAGCTGCAGCCAACTCGAATGAAACCATTCCTCTTTGAATTTTCAAAAATTTTAAAGCTAGACAGCTCCGGAGGGTTTAGGGTTTAGGGTTTAGGGTTTGGAGCTGTTTTCATCGCCCTTCTCCAGTGCCCTGGCTTGACTGTCTCGCTGCTACTTCAACATGCGCGTTTCTGGCCTTGAGGGTTTAGGGCATTTAGGGTTTAGGGTTTTAGGGTTTACGGCTTTTAGGGTTTAGGATTTTAGGGTTTAGAGCTTTTAGGATTTAGCGCCGCCTTCAGGGTTTAGGGTTTGAACTTTCCGGCTCCTGGCTGAGCCGCTGCACACAAACTCTGAGCTTTACATAAACCCTAAACACTCAGCCTGCTCGCCCTCGAGCTCTAAACCCTAAACCCTAAACCCTAAACCCTAAACCCTCGTTGTGCAGCTCCTCACAGCAGCAACTACCCCAAACAAAAAGGCCAAGAAAAAAAACAAAGTCCCTAGGGTTTTTGCCAATCAGAAAAGCGGCTAAAACCAAACTCCAAAGCCCCACATTGCATGCATGCAAAAGTGCATGCATGCAAAATTGCACGCATGCATGCATGCAAATTTGCATGCATGCAAAACTGCATGCATGCACGTTTGGAGGTTGACGGCCAGCATTCTTGTGGCTTTAAATGCACGCACGCATTTAAAGTCCCAAACTCACCTCTGGAGGCGCGGAGGTGTCAGTTAAATAAAACAAAAAAAGGAAAATGCTAGGGTTTAGGGTTTAGGGTTTAGGGTTTGGACTGCAGGCCTGCAGCGCCGAGGGGCTAGCAGATGCTGCTTTAGAGCCAAGCGGCCGTAAAACCGCCGCTGGCACCTCTCGCACACTATCCACCTGAAGCGCACTCAAAACCTATTTTAGGGTTTAGGGTTGGAAACCCTTATTTAGGGTTTAGGGTTTGGAGTTTGAGTCGAGGTAACATATATGAGAAAAATCGCGCTGTTGACTGCGCACGCAGCTGGGGCTTCTCCGCGCGTTTAAAGTGTCTTTTAATGGATTTAAAAAGAATTAAAAAAGAAAAAGAATTTAAATTTAAATTTAAAAAAGAAAGAAAAGTCCTCACTTGTTTTCTTCTGCTGCCTCCAGCTCCCTGAGTCTCACGGCGCCTGCAGAACACGCCAGCTGCACTCGAAGTTGAATTGGATCTGTTTGGAGTCAAAATTGTCCATTTCGGGGTTTAAATGGTTCATTTTGAAACCAATTTAATTAATTTAAAGTTTAAAATGATTTATTTTGAGGAATTGAACTTCAATTCCCCGAAAATCTCGAAAAAAGCTCCAAAAAAAGCTCCGAAAAACGCGAAAACGCGGCAGATTTCCAGTTGTGCGGAAACCGCCTTACATCGAGGAATTCATTTCAAATTCATTTCTGATATTTCTGATTTTTCAAAATGTTCTTTTTTTGATTTATTTTAAATTCCTTTTTTGATTTTATTTTTAAATTGTTTTTTCTTTCTTTCGCCAAATTCAGAAAATTTGATTTCCCTTTTGTTTGCTGAAAAGCCAGGCAACTGCAGAATTCAAAAAGTTGAAAATTTACCCTTTTTCCGAACTTTTAAAAATTCCATTTCTGATCTTTTTAATCCTTTTTTGATATTTTAAAATTCTTTTTGATCACTTTTATTCTTTTTTGACTTTTTTTTGTTCTTTTTCGACCTTTTCGACTTTTGTTTGTTCATTTTCGCCTTTTATTTATTCATTTTGCCTTTTTTTTTATCTTAAATTTCCCATTTGCCAAAATTGCCACAAATGGTGCTTTGATTTTCTTGTAATTGTTTTTATTTCTTTTATTCCTTTTTTTTCTCTTTTTCTTTTTTCTTTTTTTCTGCTTCTTATTTCCTCCCTTTTCTCCTTTTTCTGCTTTTTCTTCTTTTTTTCCTTTTTCTTATTCTTACAATCTTCACTTTGTTGCATTTCTCCGTATTCGCCTTCGCTTTTATTATTTCCATTATTATTGTTATTATTATTATGGCCATTATTATTGTTTACTATTACTATTATTATTACCATTACTATTTTTATTACTCTTATTATTATTATTATTATTATTATTATTATTATTATTATTATTATTACTATTATTATTATTATTAGTTTGATTAATATCACAGTTATTTTTATTAATTGATTGGAAATAAAAGAAGTACAAAACGAAAGAAAAGGAGGCAAAATGAGAAAAAGTAAAAGGCAAAAAATTCGACTAACCTGACATTTGCGCAGCAGCAGCAAACTCGGAATCTTCACAGAAAGGTTCCCCGCTCATAAACCCTGCAAGCAACAAAACCCTAAATTAGGGTTTGGGTCTTAGCGAGGGTTTCGGCGCACAGTTGAGGGTTTACGCCGCTAGGGTTTCGTGCTACAGATCCATCACTCAACTACAAGAGACTCCAAGAAGCAACGCTAAACCCTAAACCCTAAACCCTAAACCCTAAATTGTGGTCTCACTGTCGACAATCTTGAGGGCTTTTCCGCATATCATTTCCTCCCAGTTCTCGACGGCCTCTGCAGACACAAGGGCTCCTTGGCTGGGCCATGAGGGTTTAGCGTTTAGGGTTTAGGGTTTAGGGTTTAGGGTTTAGGGTTTAGGGTTTACCGTCTGTGGCTTCGAGGAAATAAAGAGGCAGGTTTCTGCGGCGAATCAAAAACTTGTTTCTTATCCATTTTCGCTGCTGCTTTGAATACTGCAGCGAACGCAAAACCACCAAATCCAAACACTTTTTCAAACTTTCATTCATTTCTTCTTTTGCATTTTTCCCGGGGTTCGAATGCCCCTGGGGGCCCCCCTGGGGGCCCCCTTGGGGGCCCCCCTGGGGGCCCCCCTGGGGGCCCCTCTGGGGGCCCCCAGGCAGCACCAAAGGCAGAAACTCCTTATATCCTACACGCCCACACACAAACAACACACTGCTACTTTAAACGCACCCAAATCCTAAACCCTAAACCCTAAACCCTAAACCCTAGACCCTAGCCCTCACTACTCCATGTTTCTCACCAATGCCTTGTAAAACTCCCCCTCTAAACCCTTCTTGCTTCTTTCTTTCCGCCGGCAGATTCACATCTTCTTCTGACTCAGAAAGAGGTCCCTGGGGGGCCCCCGGAGTCTCCTTGAGGCCCCCATAGGGGCCCCCGTGGGGGCCCCCCTGGGGGCCCCCTTGGGAGTCCCCCCGGGGCCCCCTGTGGGGCCCCCCAGAGGGGGCCCCCCGGGGGCTTTCTTGGGGGGCCCCCTGGGGGCCCCCTTGGGGGGCCCCCTCGGGGGCCCCTGGAGGTTCTGGGGGCCAGGATTGCAAATTAAGTTCTTTGGCGAGCCATCTGACTTCTTCTAAAAGTCCTTTCTGAAAATAAAAATAAAAAAAGAAATAAAAAAGAAATTTATTCTTTTATGCATTTGAAGAAGTGAATAAAGGCTTGTTGGTTGCATTTAAAGGTAACTATAAATGCAAGTATAAATGTAAATGTAGAAGTACATATAAATATATATATACATGTAAATATGTATATAATTATACATATAAGTAAATATAAATATAAATATAAATGTAAATATAAATATGAATATAAATGTAAATATAAATATAAACGTAAATATAAATGTAAATATAAATATAAATATAAATATATATATAAAGGCAAAATGGCGTACAAATGTGAATATGAAGAGTGCTTGTGGCGTTTGAAGTGTGCGAGAAAATGACTTTTTTGGGCAACTTTTGGGTCAATTTTATCGAATGTGAATTAAATTAATGGAATTAATTAATTTATTTTAATTTATTTGGATTTATTTCATTTGCTGCCTCTCAAACGCACTTCACACATCTCCAAAAGTCTCCGTCTTAATCGTTTTTCCAAAACTTCTCTATCCCTCACATCCAGCCACAAAATGCATGCGTCGTAGCTGTACATACACCCCGACGCCCGCTGCAAGAAATCAGTTTACCGCTCTAATTGCATGCGTGCATAATTGCATGCATGCATGCATGCATAATTGCATGCATGCATGCATACATAATTGCATGCATGCATGCATACTTGCATGCATGCATGCATGCGTGCATAATTGCATAATTGCATGCATGCATAATTGCATGCATGCATGCATGCATAATTGCATGCATGCATGCATGCGTGCATAATTGCATGCATGCATGCATGCACTCTATCAATTGCAATAACTTTCTTTGGTTTTGCAGCGCATGCAGCCCCATTTTAGAATTAAATTAATTCATTTTTTTTTAATTTTTTAATTACCGCAGCTGCTGCGATTTGTTCGCCCGCATCAGCTCGCTGTGGGGCATCCCAAATTGTTTTGAGACCTGTAAATAAAAGAAATAATTAATTTGACTAATTAATTAATTAATTAATTAATTAATTAATTAATTAATTAATTAATTAATTAAATTAATTAATTATTGAAATTTAGTCATTATGAATTAAAGCAAATTAATTTCTGGCCTTCGAAGCAGCTGTCCAGACACTCGAGCGCCGCCGCTAAACAAATTCAGCCAGGCCAGCAGCAGCAGCAGCAGCAGCAGCAGCAGCAGCAGCAGCAGCAGCAGCAGCAGTAGCAGCTACAAAGTAGCTGAACTCGTTGCAACAGCAGCAGTACAGCAGCGGCAGCAGCAACATAGCTGCAGCAGCAACAGCGGAACTACGTGGAGCAGCCGCAGCAGCAGCAGCAGCAGCAGCAGCAGCAGCAGCAGCAGCAGAGGTGCATGCATTTGCTGCTAACCTGAATGCTCCTGATGATTCTTCGCCGGTCGTTGGGGTGCAGCTGCTGCGCCTGGAGAAGCAGCAGCAAAAGAAAATAAAAAAAGTGAAATAAAAGAAAAAGAAAAAAGTGTCTTGCGCCCTGCTGCTGTCTGTACACCGCAGCAGCAGCAGCAGCATGCATGCAGCAAAGCCCCACACCCGCGCGCTGTCAACTTCTTTCAGCATTTCAATTAATTCTTCATTTGTCTTCGACTCCACTGCAAACAAGCAAAGAGAAGCAGCAAACAGCAAGTTAACTGCGCAGCAGCAGCAGCAGCAGCAGCAGCAGCTGCTGCTGCTGCTGCTGCTGCAGCGGCGGCTGTGGCGCCGTTTTTGCTGCTGCGGGGCTGCTTTTTGTGCTGCTGCTGCAGCAGCTGCTGCTGCTGCTGCTGCAGCTGCTGCTGCTGCTGCTGCGGGCCGTACAGTCTGCTTCTTCTTGTCTTTTGTCTGTTTTAATTTCCCTTTTTTCTGCTTTTTGACTTTTTGAATTTAATTCTGAGTCGCTGTAAACGTCGACAGCAGAGCGCCACAGCAGCAGCTCCACGTACAGCTGAGTGCCCCCCACCACCACCGGCAGTTTGCCCGCCTGGCTCAGCGCTTTTACCTGCAGCAGCAGCAGCAGCAGCAGCAGCAGCAGCAGCAGCAGCAGCAGCAGCGGCAGGAGGTCAAGTATTGTTTTGAATCGAGTGAGTGGCTGAATTTGGATCCTGTATATAGTCTTCATTCCCCAACAGCCTTCCCCACAGAACGCAGTGGACGAAACAGCAGCAGCAGCAGCAGCAGCAGCAGCAGCAGCAGCAGCAGCAGCGCAGCAGCAGAGTGGACCAGTGGTCCGGTCCAGTGGTCACGCACAGTGCGCTTGGCTGCTGCCAAGAAGTCCGCTGCTGTGAAGGCCTCCTGGGGGCAGCAAAGGTCCAAAAGGTGGTGCGGAATTGCTGCTCTTTCTGCTGCTGCTGCTTTCGCAGTGCCTATGTCGCAGCCCTTGTAAACCTGCGCACCGCCACCACAGCTAGCTAGCTAGCTAGCTAGCTAGCTGGCTAGCTAGCTAGCTGGCGAGCTGTGGCCGGCTAGCTAGCTGTGGCTAGCTAGCTAGCTGTAGCTGCCTGGCTGGCTAGCTGGCCAGAATGGCTAGCTGGTCGCGGCTGGCTGGCTAGCTGGCTGTGTGGAGCTGGCTAGCTGGCTTTAGCTAGCTAGCTAGCTAAGAGGCTGGAATGGCTAGCTAGCTGGAGCTAGGTAGCCAGCTAGCTTGCTGGCTAGCTGTAGCTAGCTTGCTAACTAGCTGCAGATAACTGGCTAGCCAGCTGTAGCTAGCTGCAGCTAGCTGGCTGGCTAGCCAGCTGTAGCTAGCTGTAGCTAGCTGGCTAGCTAGCTGGCTGCAGTGGAGGCAGCCTGAAGAGCTTGCTGGCGTGGCTGGTGGTGCTGCTCTTAATCTACCAGATTCTGACCATCTGGCAGACCCGTTGCTGCTGCTGCTGCTGCTGCTGCTGCTGCTGCTGCTGCTGCTGCTGTTCACCTGCATAGAGTCTGCGCTGACGATTTCCGCCTGGACTCCTTTGTCCTTTAACTTCATGCACAAGTCAAAAGCCAAGCGGGACTTGCCCACGCCTGTGGGGCCAATTATGAACAGCACTTTAGGAAGCTGCTGCTGCTGCTGCTGCTGCTGCTGCAGCGGCTGCTGCTGCTGCTCTTGCAGCGGCATGGCGGCGGCTGCAGCGCACAAGCGGGAGCTAGAGGGGTCCCAAGAAGAATATTTCTGTAAATTATTCCTAAAAGTAAAAGAAAATGGAGAAAAAGGTGAAGTTTCAGCGGAAAAAATACTTTTGAAACGATGCGCCGACGCGGCGGAGGGCGGCGCGGTGGATGAGGTGTACGTACACCCCAGTTTTCGGGAGTCTGTGCAGCTCTTGCAAAGACTTTTTGAATTTAAAAATGAAAGGTATTTTTCATTTATATTTATTTTTTGATTTTCAATTAAATTTCCGCCTTCAATTCGCTGCGGAAGGGGCCCGGGGGCCCCGGGGGCCCCACGCAGTGCTGCCGCGATGCTGCTGCTGCTGCTGCTGAAGTGCAGCGGCGTTTCTTTGAATTGTTTTGAACTGAAAATGAATTTTAAAGAATTTGAATTCGAAATTGAATTCGAAATTAAAACAAAAAAGCACAGAAGAAGCAACACAGACATACCCCGTTGCTTTTTCCCCCAAATTCGCAAAAAAAGGATCAAAAAATGAATTTTAAGTCCCCAAAAACAAAAATTTAGATCTAAAAGTGCAATTTTAAACAACTAGTTCATTTACAATGATCCAAAACTTTGTTGAAGCACTAGGGCCCTCTCCTGTGGGCCCCCAGGGGGCCCCCAGGGGGCCCCAAGGGGCCCCCCGGGGCCTCGGGGGCCCCCAGGGGGCCCCTGGGGGCCCCTGGGGGGCCCCCTGGGTAAAATTCTATGGAGGATGAGATCAAAGTGAATCTTTCTTTTGGGGAAATTTAGTTTAAATTTTTTGAGTAAAAGAGAGAAAATGTGGTTCCAATTATTATTTCTGTTACACAGCTGGCCACAGCTAGCCACAGCTAGCCACAGCTAGCCACAGCTAGCCACAGCTAGTCACAGCTAGCTACAGCTAGCCACAGCTAGCTACGGCTAAACCTATCTAGCTGCAGCTAGCCACAGCTAGCCACAGCCAGCCACAGCTAGCCACAGATAGCCACAGCTAGCCACAGCTAGCCACAGCTAGCCACAGCTAGCTAGTCCTTTTCTGAGTCTGCACAGACAGCCGAGCCAGCAAGGCCCCCAAACCCCTTCAGCCATAAACCCTAAACCCTAAACCCTAAACCCTAAACTTGAATTTTCTTAGGATTCGGAGTTAGATCTATTTTTGTTTCCTTCGAATTTCCTTTTCAGCTTTTCACCCTAATCCCGAAAATAAATAAAACGAATTACCCATTTTATTTATTTATTTATTTTTCTTTCTTTTCTTTATTTAAAAAAATAAAAAAGATATTCCCCTGGAGGAACTCAAAGCCCTGTGTGCTGAGTTCAGCGCCTGCCCAGCGCTCAAAACCCTAAACCCTAAACCCTAAACCCTAAACCCTACACTTCCTCTGAGAGGTCCAGAGTTTCTGAGGGTTGGGGGTTTGCTGCAGCAGCAGCTGCAAGCGGGTCCTTGACGTTAGAAATTGAATTGGGAAAATTTAAATAAATTGAATTAAATGGTTTTATTAATGAATTAGAAAAAACATAATTAAATTAAATCAAATACTTTTATTTAATTCAATTAAAAATCAAAAGACAGCAAGTGTGTAGCGCTGAGGCCATTACTTAGAATCGGCTGCGGAGCCCGCAGCAAGCTGCAGCAAGCTACGGCTAGCCGTGGCTAGCTGCAGCTAGCTGCAGCTAGCCACTAGGGCCCCAACAGCTAGCTGCAGCTAGCTGCAGCTAGCTGTGGCTAGCTGGGGCTAGCCAGTGGGGCCCCGGGAGCGCAAGTCCAGGCGGGAGTGCAGGCGGGGTGTGCAGAGCAGCCGCTGCTGCGCTGCTGCTGCTGCTGGGAAGCAAATTGCGTCTTTAATGGACCAAATTATTTCCATTTCAATTATTTGGAGTTTTAATTTGGCTTTTAGTAGCGGAAAGTCAGAGACACACGCAGCAGCAGGAGCGCAGCAGCACGTCACCCTCCGTGCAGCGGGTCTGTGGGCTTCTGCGGGCGAAAGCGGCGCTTTTTGCGGCTAAATCCGGGAAATAAAGAAATTTAAATTTGAATAAAAGGAAAATAAACTATTTTAAAAAGCAACTGGGGCTTGGAACCCCGCGGAAGTCCCGGGATCTGCGCAGACAAGCAACGTGCAGCCGAGCAGCTGTGACGGCAGCGCCGCAGCACCCAGTGCTGCTGCTGCTGCGCAGTTTGCTGCTGCAGCACTGTCTTCTGGACTTTTTTGACTTTGCAGTTCGGCGAAAACAGAAAAAACACCCAAAGGGATGAAAGCCAGCTTCTGAAAGGCCCCTCTTGGCGTCCTGGGGCAGCAGACCGCGACGCGCGCCGCTGCGCGGTGTGTGCGGAATCCGCCGGAAAAAGGATCAAATTGAGCTGTTTTCAGTGAGGAATTTCAATTAAAATAAATTAAAAGAATTAAAGTAGCTGCAAAACTGCGAAATAAGCCGCGGAAGACGCGCGGCGCTGCTGCGTTTCGCGAAACCGCTCGAGTTCGTTCAAGTTGCACTGCACGGTGTCGCTGCTGCTGCTGCAGGATTCCAGTTTGCGATCTTGCGTTTTTCTGGCGATTTTTTGGTCTTTTTTGCATTTTTTTGTTTTATTTGAATAGATTTGGGTCTTTGCGACGCAAAGGAGCCGGCTTTCGGCGGGCGTGGGTGCGCGAGACGGAATTGAGCGCCGCTTTCCACTTCTTGAATGCGACACGCCGATGGGGCCGCTCTCCGAAAGCGCCACTCTGTGGGCGCTGCTGCTGCCGCCAGCAGCGGGACTTCTCTGGGCTGCTTATCAGGCCTGGAGGATTTCCCAAGTGAAGCTCGAGGGGCCCCCCGAGGGCGACAACAAGCGGCTGACAGACCGCCTCTACGTCGAAGTGAGCCGCAGCAGCAGCAGCAGCAGCAGCAGCAGCGCAATGCAGCAGCAGCAGCAGCAGCAGCAGCAGTGTGTGGGTGGGTGTGCTGCTGCTGCGCAGGCAGCTAGCAGCGTGCAGGAGCAGCTGGAGTCGATGAAGACAATTGCGAAGAACATTGCGGAAGGCGCCGACACTTTTCTTCTCCAGGAGTTCCGCTACATCCTCGTTTACGTAGTGGTCTTCTCCGCCGTCCTTTGCTTCGCCATCGGCCCCTGTGAGCTGCTGCTGCTGCTGCTGCTGCTGCTGCTGCTGCTGCTGCTGCTGCTGTTATTACACCGCAGTCCCAGAATAGGACTAGGAGCCCGTGTGCGCACATGTGCTGTTGCTGCTGCTGCTGCTGCTGCAACACAACAGCAGCAACAGCAGCAACAGCAGCAGCAGCAGCAGCAGCAGCAGCTGCAGCAACAGCAGCAAATACTGCACCTGCTGCTGCTGCTGCTGCTGCAGGGACGATGGTGGCGTTTGTGGTGGGGTGTTTGACGTCGATGGTGAGCGGGTACTTGGGGATGAAGATCGCAGTCTACGCGAACCTGCGGGCCTGCCACGAGGCGTGGGGGGAGCTGGGATCGTTGGGATCGTCTTTTGGGATCGCCTTGCGCGGCGGGATCGTCATGGGCTTCGCCCTCGTCTCCCTGGCCCTCTTCAGTCTCCTCGGCCTCACTCTCTTCTTCCGACTCCCCGCAGTCTTCGGGCCCAGGCCCGAGGACCAGGCCGCCCTCTTCGAAGCCCTCGCCGGTACTCTGCTGCTGCTGCTGCTGCTGCTGCTGCTGCTGCTGCTGCTGCTGCTGCTGCTGTTAGTGTTGCTGCTGTTGCTTCTCGTAGTTTGCTCTTGCTGCTGCTGCTGCTGCTTCTGCTCTTGCTGCTGCTGCTGCTGGTGAGTGGCAGTGGCAGTGGCAGTGGGGAGTGCCAGTGGGGAGTGTTAGTGGGGAGTGTTAGTGGGGAGTGGTGAGTGGCAGTGGCAAAGAAAGCAGCAGCAGCAGCAGCAGCCGCAGCAGCAAAAGCAGCAGCAGCAGCCGCAGCAGCAAAAGCAGCAAGTGCGGGCTCGTTCTAGGCAGCCAAGCCAGCAAAGGCAGCTAGTGGGGAGTGTTGGTGGGGAGCTGCTGGCAGCAATGCAAGCGCTTTCACCCTAAACCCTAAACCCTAAACCCTAAACCCTAAACCCTAGGCCGTGGCGGTGAGGAGAGAGGGCATAGAAGTGGAGAATTAGTTCCGATTCGAAACTTCGTCTTAGTGCTTTTCAACCCAACTCCGCGGGAGCGCCAGAGGGCAGTGGGGACTCTCAGTGGCAGCGGCAGTGGCTGTGGCAGTCAGGAGTGGCAGTGGGCAGTTTAGTAAGGAGTGGCAGTGAGGAGTTTAGTAAGGAGTGGCAGTAAGGAGTTTAGTAAGGAGTTTAGTAAGGAGTGGCAGTCTCCTCATTAGTAAAGAGTGGCAGTGGCAGTGGCGGTGTCAGTGGGGAGTTTAGTAAGGAGTGGCAGTGGCGGTGTCAGTGGGGAGTTTAGTAAGGACTGGCAGTGGGCAGTTTAGTAAGGAGTGGCAGTAAGGAGTTTAGTAAAGAGTGGCAGTGAGGAGTGGCAGTGAGGAGTTTAGTAAAGAGTGGCAGTGGAGGGCGGAGTGGCAGAGTGGCCGCGTCAGTGGGGAGTGGTGGTGTTAGTGGGGAGTGGTGCTGCTGCTGCTGCTGCTGCTGCTGCTGCTGCTGCTGCTGCTGCTGTTAGTGTTGCTGCTGTTGCTTCTCGTAGTTTGAGTGTTAGAGGGGAGTGGTGGTGTTGGTGGGGAGTGTTAGAGGTCAGTGGGGAGTGGCAGTGGTTAGTGGGGAATGTTCGAGGTCAGTGGGAGTGGTGGTGTCAGTGGAAAGTATTTAGTTATTCGTTTCCAGCTATTTATTTATTTATTTATTTCCAGTTATTCATGCATTTATTTACTCCCATTTATTTATTTATTTATGTTGGCAGTGGCAGTGGTTAGTGGGGAGTGGTGGTGTCAGTGGGGAGTGTTAGAGGTCAGTGGTGGTGTTGGAGGGGACTGGCAGTGGGGACTGCCAGTGGGGACTCTTCGGGGGACTCTGAGAGGACTCTTAGAGGGGACTCTTAGTGGGGACTCTTAGGGGGGACTCTTAGTGGGGACTGTTGGTGGGGACTCTTAGGGGGGGCTCTTAGTGGGGACTGTTGGTGGGGACTCTTAGGGGGGACTCTTAGTGGGGACTGTTGGTGGGGACTGGCAGTGCGGACTGGCAGTGGGGACTGTTAGTGGGGACTGGCAGTGCGGACTGGCAGTGGGGACTCTTAGTGGGGACTGGCAGTGGGGAGTGGCAGTGGCAGTGGGGACTCTTAGTGGGGACTGGCAGTGGGGACTCTTAGTGGGGAGTGGCAGTGGCAGTGGGGACTCTTAGGGGGGACTCTTAGTGGGGACTCTCAGTGGGGACTGGCAGTGTTAGTGGGGACTCTTAGTGGGGACTGTTAGAGGGGACTGGCAGTGGGGACTCTTAGTGGGGACTCTCAGTGGGGACTGTTAGTGGGGACTCTTAGAGGGGACTCTTAGAGGGGACTCTTAGAGGGGACTCTTAGAGGGGACTCTTAGAGGGGACTGTTGGTGGGAGTGTTGGTGGGGAGTGGCAGTGTTAGTGGGGAGTGGTGGTGGTTGGTGGGGAGTGGCAGTGGGGACTGTTAGTGGGGACTCTTAGTGGGGACTGTTAGTGGGGAGTGTTGTTGTTAGTGTTGAGAGTTGGAGTTGAGACTTTTAGTTGAGACTTTTAGTTGAGACTTTTAGTTGAGACTTTTAGTTGAGAGTTGGAGTTGAGAGTTGGAGTTGGAGTTGGAGTTGAGAGTTGGAGTTGGTGGAGTGGAGTGGCGAGCAGCTTGGGGGCTCCAGCACCTCAGCAGCGGCTGCGGCGGCAGCTGCTGCACTTGCTGCTGCTGCTGCTGCTGCTGCTGTTACTACTACTGTTGCTGCTGCTATTACTGTTGCTGCTGTTGCTTCGCGCAGTTTGCTCTTGCTGCTTCTGCTCTTGCTGCTGCTGCTGCTTCGCAGCAGCAACAACTGCTGCTGCTGCGAAGCAACAACTGCTGCTGCTGCGAAGCAACAACTGCTGCTGCTTTGCAGCAGCAACTGCTGCTGCTGCTGCTTCGCAGCAACAACTGCTGCTGCTGCTGCTGCTGCTGCAGGCTTTGGTCTGGGGGGTTCTTCCATAGCGCTGTTTGCCCGGGTGGGGGGTGGCATATACACGAAGGCGGCAGACGTGGGGGCTGACCTCTCAGGCAAAAACGACTTCGGACTTCGCGAAGACGACCCCAGAAACCCCGCATGCATTGCCGATAATGTCGGAGACAACGTGGGGGACGTGGCGGGGATGGGTTCGGACTTGTTTGGTTCTTTTGCGGAGGCCAGCTGTGCTGCGCTGCTGCTGGCGGGGGCCTCTGTGGGGCCCAGCAGCAGCAGCAGCAGCAGCAGCAGCAGCAGCAGCGGCGGCGGCAGCGTGGAGGGGCTGGCGCAGAGCTTTTCGGGACTTATGTTTCCGGTGGCGGTCTCCGCGACTGGGATCGTCTCCGGGATCGCCTCGGTGCTGCTTGTGCGGCTTTTTGTCTCCGCCAAAAACTTCAAAGGAGTCGAAAAGTCCCTCAAGAGTCTCCTTTACGTCGCCACGCTTTTGGAGACTCCTTTGGTGCTGCTGGCGGCCTATTACTTCCTCCCCCCGCAGTTCGCCCTCGGCGGGATCGGGATCGCCTCTGGGATCGTCTCCAACGGCCCTGGGATCGTCTCCAACGGCCCTGGGATCGCCGGGATCGGGGCGGGATCGGTGGTTGTGGGGCGGTGGCAGGCGGCGGGTTGTGTTTTGGTGGGGTTGTGGGGCGGGCTGGGCCAGGGCTGCTGGACCTGCCACTTCACTTCCCTCGCCAGCAAAGCAGTGCAGCAAATTGCTGCAGCACAAAAACTCTCTGCAGCAACTGGCCTTATCTACGGCCTTGCCCTCGGCCAGTTCTCCACAATAGGCCCTGCAGCAGGCCTTGCTGCAGCAGCAGCCCTCGTCCACTTCCTCACCAACGGGGCCCCCCCACAGCCCCTGGGGGCCCCCCTGGGGGCCCCCCTGGGGGCCCCCCTGGGGGGCGACGCGGCCCTGGGGGCCCCCCTGGGGGCCCCCCTGGGGGCCGACGCGGCCCTCGGGGCCCCCCTGGGGGCCCCCCTGGGGGCCCCCCTGGCGGCGGGGGCCCCCCTGGGGTCCCCCCTGGGAGCAGGGGCCCCCCTGGGGGCCCCCCTGGGGGCCCCCGGAGGGGGGGGGGCCCCCTATGGACTGGCCCTGGCAGCCCTGGGGGCCCTCGCGCCGCTGGGGGTGGCGCTTTCTTTGGACGCTTTTGGGCCCATCAGCGACAACGCCGGAGGAATTGCAGAAATGGCTTTGTTGGGAGAAGAGGCGCGAAGCAGGACAGACGGCGCTGGACGCAGCGGGGAACACGACGGCTGCTGTGGGGAAGGTGCAAACCCTAAACCCTAAACCCTAAACCCTAAACCCTAAACCCTAAACCCTAAACCCTAAGCCCTAGCGTAGTTGTAGCAGTAGACTCAAGCCCTAGCAGAATTGAATTTAGTGAGTCCGGTGAAGGGCGCTAGTGAAGCTGCTGGCAGCAATGCAAATGCATTCAACCTAAACCCTAAACCCTAAACCCTAAACCCTAAACCCTAAACCCTAAACCCTCGCGGTGAGGAGAGAGGGAATAAAAGTGGAGTATTAGTTCATCATATTTAAAACTTCATTTTTAGTGTTTTTCAAC